TTTTAAACATAGAAAATGAGAACCCAAGGGTCATCCAATCCAGCCCCAAATTAGGCATGAGCTTTGTTTAACATTATGTTATCTCCTACACCCTCCCTCATGCAAACAAAGCTTTGATCAAAACCAAAGCTTATTATTGTAAAACTAAACTATATTTCTCTTAAAGATCAAGCTAAAATGTTGTATGGTATCTCCAACTTCTGGCAGGAGCATCCTTATTCAAAGCTCTACTCAAAGGCCAGGAACACAAGCCATGGAGCAGCAATTGGCCCTTGCTTCCAGAAAAACACACTGTTTTCCTCTTCCATCTCCTGAGATGTGCCCACTGCAGTACATAAGCCTTATGCTTGAACACTTTATTTTGTTGCATTTCAGATTGAGAATCTTTCTGGAAATTGAGAAAAGTTGGCCTTTTCCCTCCCCCCTCTATCTCAAAAACATTCATGTAAAGTTCATGGAAGAGGGTTGAGTCATGTGATGTATAATCCCCCTCATCTCCACTGGATATTTGAGAGCAAGAGTGAATATTATACAAACATCCAAATGCTGTAGGACTGTAACTTCCATGATTCCTCACCACTGGCTAGAGCTGTTGAGAATTACATTCCAAAAGCATCCAAAAGACTATGGGATTCCCACCTCTGTTTTAGAGATCACATCAGGCCAATTATTTCTTTTCTAACTTCTCTGTGTAGTAATAATTTCCTGATATGTAGTGATTACTCAGTCAAGGTTTCTGTTGAAAGGAGAATGCAGGAGACTTACAGTGTTTTGAAATATTTGCTTTATTTACAAACATACAGGCTGAGCTAAAGTGGAGATGCATTACTTAAGACATGTGAACAGCCTGCCAAAACTGCAAGCAGCATCCCAAAATAATGCTTCCTTCTTCTGAGCACCAAGCACATTGCATGCCATGCAGATATTTGCTGCCAATTGAGAGCTATTATGTTATCTAATAATATATCAGCATAGTCATATATGAGCACAGCTACGTAGCATAGTGGTTTGAGCATGAAACTATGACTCTGGAGATCAGGGTTCGATTCTCCGCTTGGCCATGGAAACCCACTGGGTGACCCTGAGTCACACACTCTCAGCCCCTTAAGGTCACCATAAGTCAGAAATGACTTGAAGGCGCACAACAACAAATAGGACCAGTAATGTGCCAATTATTCAGCAGATACAATTTTAACAATTCTGTCATTCCACTCCTGGAAGTCCATAATCACTCCCATGTGTTACAGTACTCTGATAGTACACATGAAGGTTGATAGCAGGCCTATCCACCACTCCAACAAGTCTAGCAAGGAATAGATATGTGGAACTAGAATTATTGATATATTAACCATTTAATCTTTGCATACTAAAAACATCAGAACCTGTGCATTCCATTTGGCATGTATGATAGTCCAAAGTGGCATGATACATTTTGTAGCATTTTTAAAACATTTTTTCACAGGACAATAAAAAGTGGCAGGGGAGAAATTACCAACTGCTTGGCTGGCCTATTCTGGCTGCTGAATGGTGAATCACTATATGATATAATCACACAGCTTCCTAAGGCATCCACCACCTAATTTCCACTGAACACCTAGTTCAAGGCTTCTATTGTGGTATGGACCTTAAGCACTTGGACGGATCTTATCAAAATTCTAGTAACTTTATAGCAAATTGACAGATTAAGATACTTAATCATTTGTTAAATTAATCATCAAAAATTATATAAATATAGGCTAAAAGACTCCACCATCCATCCATTCTATCATTCAGTCTTTTATGCCATCAGAGACCTCTTTATTCTGAAGATGTTATCAAACAATATTTACATTAGAATCTTAGACATGTCTACTCAGAAGTAAGTAGGTTCTCTTGAGTACAAGGGCCTTACTCTAAGATAAAATTTCTAGAATTATAAGTCGACCTCATGTATATTGTGGGCAAGTTTTGGGGCCAAAATTATGGGTTTTGATGTGACTCGTGGATAAGTCAAGGATAAAACTCAGGGGCATGTAACAAAGGGTGTAAAAGACTTTACTGTCTTCATACAGAAATGCATTATTCAGATCCTTCTAAGCCCAATTTCTCTTGGCACTCCTTTGAGGAGAAGGACCAAAGAGGTGCCACCAATGCCATTTTCCTACCCAAGCAATCAAAAGGGCATCATGGTGGAAAGAACAGAGGGGTTTGGTGCTTCTTTTGGGTGTTCCTGGGATGAACTAAACTCCTACCTTTCACCACTCTACCCAGAGAAAGGAAAGAGTTATAGTACTTACATTGACTCATGGATAAGTCGACCAAATTTTATTGGGTCAATTTTTTACTAAAATTTCTACACTTATACATGAGTATATACAGTAACTATAATTTTTCCTATAGTTCCTAAAACTGTAGGAGTGTTTTCCCCACCAGAATTGTGAGATCTTCAGGGAGAGAGGTGAGAGTTCCACATTTTTTAAAGGCCTGAAACATTTTAACCAAAGGAACTTGTCACAAGAGGAGGGGAGACCCAGAGCAATGAGGAATGATCAGCCCACTGAACCTTTCCACATAGCTGGTATCTTCTTCTTCTTCAGCCCCACCATAATTTTGGGGCGAGTTTGCTCTAGCTTTGCTCATCTCCATGTTCTGCCCTTGCATCCCAAAAACGTTCACCAGAGAAATGGACACATGTTGAGAGGACATCATTCAGCTCTCTGGAGAACATGGACCCTGTCTTTCTTTCTATGCACCAAAGTAAAAATAAAAAAGCAAGAGACAAGGCAAGCAGGATAGTGGGAAGAGGCAATTTCTTGATGTAAGGGAGGCATGTGTGGTGTTGTTGTTGTATGCCTTCAAGTCATTTCTTACTTGGCAGAATTTGCTCATGGGATGTTTCACTTGCCTTCCTCTGAGGCTGAGAGACTATGCCTTCCCAAGTGTACAGTAGATCAATTTTTGTTAAAAAAAAGGAAGGGACTAGATACTTTAAGGTTGACAAGGGACTTCAGTGGGTCACTTCTCTCAGCAACATGAAACATGGGGTGGCAAAGTTGTGAAAGAAAAGAAAAGCAGGTGCTCCTGTATTGGTGTTCCCAAGAGAAAAAAAGTTCCTCCTTTCCAGCTCAGTGGGGAAAAAAACCCTTCAAACTAGACAACTAAAAACAGAAAGCACAGGTGTGCACACACACACATGCTTACAATACACTCCACAAAGACCTCAAAGTGGCCTCCCTTCCCAGAACAGGTTAAATCTACTTCTCGTCAATTTCATTCATAAGTAGTAAGTGTTTCTAAACAGTATCAATTCCAACAGTAACTGGACAATTCTAACTAATTATCCAGTTAAGACACTGTAAATGCATAGTTTTGCTTCTCAGTACTTAGAATAAGCATGGGTTCTTCCTCAAAGGGTTCCCATTCAACTTTGGTTTGTCAAGATAAGCTGATCTTAGAAATTACAAGTAAAATACAAATATTTTTGTTACTCAATTACTTCCTACAATCAGTAGCCTCCCTTTTTATAAGCAAGCAATAAAAGGACAATTCTACTGTTAGATAAACACATATATAATTTAGTGAAAGCATGAGCTCCACTCCCAGTTTACAACGAATGAATGGCAGACAGTGTTAAGTGAACTTTGTTCTGGGTGTGCCTTAAACCAAAACAAATATAGAGATACGGTTGCAATGGTGTTCACAAAAGGCCAGTTTTACAGGACTATGCTTGTCTCCTCTTGTTTACAAAGGAATAAATTGCACCCTTAATGCTTACTCTACAGAGCCCCTTCAGAAATTACTGTCTTTGCTCCCAGGACTGCTTTCATAGCTTATTCCAACAAAAATCTGGTTGTCAGTACAACTTGTATGCATATCTGCTTCTCAATGAGTCACTGGTGTACTTTCCCAATTCCAGAATTCTTTGCATCAATCTGTCTGATCTAAGTAAACAGTAACTCAGAATATTTTTCTTACAGAAGTGATAATAGATACATTCCAGAGAGAACAGCCTTGTCAAAAAATAGTTTTTGACTGCTTCTCCAAGTAAATCCAACACCATACAGGACTGTACAGAGTAAGATTATAACAAACATGTTTATTGGAATGTTACTAAGCAAGAAAATATTCAAAATATAGCCTTTCAAAAATTACTTCAGATTCTGTAACAATGCTTTTGTAAATAGCCATAGAACAACTAACTGTTCTTCTACCACAAAATGCTAACCTATATTGTTTGTGCTTTTTAGGAAAAAATATAGCTCTTACACCCATATACTCCTTCCTCTCATGTTGCTACATAACATAAACATTTGAATAATAAGAAAAGAGGTTCTACTTAAGCATTAGGAAGCATTTTCCCCCTGTAAAAGATATTTGACAGTGAAATAGATTAGAGAGTTGTGGACATTCCACCTTTGAGGTCTTCAAACAGAGGTTGGCAGTGCATTTTTCAGGAGTAATTTAGGCCTCAAGCAGATGGGGCAAAAGGAATGGCCAGAGGCATGGGACTGCAATGACTAGACACTGTGGTCCTAAAGTCAGCCACTGCCATGGGCTGCATCAGAGCTCCAGCAGAAGCACTTCTTTTGCGCTCCTTTTTGCGCTGGGTTTGGGCCGCCTTAGACAGCTACAGGGCAGCTTCAGCCCAATCCAGAGGCATGCATCATCTGAACACCACACACCCCCGATCGGCCCAAAGGCAGTGCTTTTGGCCCATCTGTTTCGGGTCTTAGTTGTGTATTCTTGCATGACAGCGGGTTGGAGTAGATTGTGATCCTTTCCTTGTGATCCTTTCCAGCTTTAAGATTCTATAAACAACTTTTATATCTGTACAATTTATATTTGTTACTATAAAATCTATACAAAAAGCAACAATTCAATCAACTGCACAAATGCAAACAAGATGTTAGGATCATGGTACATTTTCAGCAGAAGTCAGTTTCCTTTCCTTTGTGTTAATGATTATAAGATTTTTAAAGGTGCACACACATACTCCACCCGGAGAAGAAAGTGCAACGTAGAGTAAAAGGAATTGTTACACTTACAGATACGTATCTTATTTTCTTAAAAACAAATTTTCCATGGTTTAGAAACATTTCCAGCATTCCTTTCAGTTGTTCCATGTTCACACACAGGCAACAGAGAGCCATGAATTGAGGAACTGATGGGAAAAGCAAAGCTCACCTTTTCTTCAGCAGACTTTACTACACTTATAACTTCTTGTATCACAAGTTCTAATGGGTGAGTAGCTGCATCTTCTTCAAATGTAAACAACCATGAGTCCTGGAGTGGAAAAGAACAACAACATGCTTATTTGAACCAGCATAGTTCTTGAAACAAGAGCTAAAGTTCACAAAGCCATTCCAAGGAAATTGTCTTAATGTGAATCTAAAATATAAATGCTGGAGTTGATGCAGCAGGTAAAACTCTAAGGCTGCACTGTAAAATTTGTAAAAGTTGGGGTTGCATTTTGAAGTGGGAAAGGGTAATCTCTCAATGGCTGCAGTGGGCAAGGCCATCCTTTATCTTTCTCTCCCATTCGTTCTCTCTCTCTCCTCTACATGGGTGGAGTAGGGGAGAGGGACAGATCATCCTTGCCAGAGGTCTGAGGCTTGCAAAGGGCTTCTGAAATTAGGCTGAAGGCCTATGTGGAATTAGGCTAAGTGCTGCTACTTGCTGCCAGAGAGCCAGCATGGTGTTGTGGTTTGAGAACATCAGGCGAGAATTGTTAATGTATATCAAGTTCTTTAAGAATGTTAACTTTCAACTCCTTTGTTCTCTCTTCCACATGTAGGCCATGCAAAAGTGAAGATTAATGAGTATTAATTTTACAGTAAAGTTATCATTTACATAGCACTTGAAATGTTCAGAACTGGTAGGCTAACAAGAGTACAACAATATATGAGAGGGGAAGCCTCACCTAACTCAGCCCTTCCTGACTGCCATGCTTCCTACTATGAAGTGCCAATCTAACCCACAATCCCACAGGCTCTGGTCATGTTTGCTGGAATGCAGTCCTCAAAACATCCATCCACCACCCAGTAGGTAGATCTCTGGGACAAATGTTTCTAGCCCAGTCTAA